ATATATATATATATATATATATGGATTAGAGGTATCTGTCGGCCTAATAGGCATAAGTATATATACGTGTATATCTTTTCGTTTGTTTATTTGTTTGTTTATTTATTTATCTGTTTATTTATTTGTCCATTTATCTGATTATTTGTTTATTTGTTTATTTGTTTATATATTTATCTCTCTCCTTCTCTCTACTTCTGCTTTAACTTTCTTTCTGTCTGTCTGTATCTCTCTGCGCATTTATACATTGATACATATATATATATATATAAATGTATATAAATATTTAAATATATATATATAATATAAATTATATATATATAAGAGCAGATGTCTTTAAATAGCTTTCTTTGTTGGAGTTTGCAGCTGCTAAAAACAAAAAGAAAAAACAGACAAACGAAGTACACTCCAAATGTAAACTACGCAAAGTCAAACAACAGAAACCCAGCTGAAGATATAAATAAATAAATAAATAAATATATATATATATATATACGTATATATATTTATTTATTTATTTACTCATATACAGAGAGAGAGAGAGAGAGAGAGAGAGAGAGAGAGAGAAAGAGAGAGAGAAACATATATATATACATGTATATATATATACATATACATATTTATATTTATATTTATATTTATATATATCAGTAGAAATATATAAATACATGCATATATGTGTATGTATACAGAAATATATGTATAAAATATATGCATACATTTATATAATATATATATATATATATATTATATAAACATTATTTATATGTACATATATGTATATATGTATATAAATAATGTAAGTATACCTACACATACAACACAAACCATTAAATGCATGCACTCATTTGCATGCAAAAACTGCAAAAACTGCAAAAAAATGCAAAAAATGCAAAAAATGCATGCAAACAAATGCATGCATGCATGCATGCAGATGCATGCATGCATGCATGCATGCATTTGTTTGCATGCATTTGCATGCGTTTGTTTGCATGCATTTGTTTGCATGCATTTGCTTGCATGCATATTGATGGATTTGAATGGATGCGAAGTTTGGGGCTGCACGCATGAAGATGCATTTATTTCTTCTTATCTTCGATTAACACGCAGGGGTTTTTCTTTTATTAATCTGCTGCACACTGGTGTTGCTGCTGCTGCTGCTGCTGCTGCTGCTGCTGCACGCTGCTGCTGCTGCCCCCTCTGTTGCTGCTTCTGCCTCCGCTGTCGCTGCCGTTGCCGCTGTCCCCCTTGTTGCTGCTGCTGCCCCCACTGCTGCTGCTGCTGCTGCTGCAGCAGCAGCAGCAGCAGCAGCATAACTTGAGACTAGCAAGTGATGCCTTTGATGCAAACCTGAACGTAGAGTGTATATCCTCTCGTCCAAGGCTCTGAAAGAAGCACAACAGCTTCTATTGTTTTTGCAAGAGATGCAACAGCCTCTGCAAGAGTTAAGCCCTTTACTTCTCTTGCTGTTGCTGCTGCTTCTCCAGCAGCAAGACAGGAGAGGCCCGTGAGATGCACACGACAAGCTAAGTTTCCTGCTGCTGGTGTTGCAGCAGGATTTCTGCTGCTGCTGTTTCCGACAGCAGCAGCAGCTGCAGCAGCTGCTGCTGCTGCTGCAGTTGCTGCTGTCCTCGGAGCTGGAGATGTGCATGCATTTCTACCCTGCTGAGCATTGGCTGCTGCGGTTGTGCCTGTGCTGCTGCTTGCGCTGCTGCATAGAGCAGCAGAGGGTGTTAAAGGTGCTTCATCATCAACAATATCAAATGTTGCCGAGTACTGGGTAGGCCTCCACAGTCTTCTTCTTCTTTGAACAGATGTTGAGACAATAACAGGACAAGAGGGGCCCCCTGCATGCACTAATCGTATAAGTGCTGTTAGAGCCCCTACTAGTATTGAGTCTTGAGGTAAGACGAAGCCTGAAGCAGTCTTAGTTAACTGAATTTGTATAAAATGTATAGCCTCTCTTAGATGAGGGTCTCTCCTACAAGGCGGTACCGGTAATGCAGCAGCAAAACATATAACTTCTACATCTAATCTTCTTACAGTTAGCTGAACAGCATGACCATTAGAAACACCTTCTTTAACAGCAGCAGCAACAGAATCAACGAAAAATATCTGCTGTTGGAGACGATCCCAGACGATCCCAAGATCCTTGTGGGGTGGCTCTATATGATTTATCATATGTCTAACCAGCAAAACTCTGCTTTGAGCTAAGAATCTTGATAAAGGAGGTTTAATATAATCTACAGTTAATACACCCAGATATATAACAACACCGAAAGCAAGTTCAAAGCCCCCACCGAGATTAGCCTCGTGAACAACATCAGCAAGCTTCATCGGTATATCTTGTGCTGTTGCTGCTCTAACATCTGTAGCATCTTCAATGCTATTTCTCTCTCTCTCAAGAAAGGGTACACTATAGGATTCAATTAAACATCCTTCAACTCGAACAACGCTGTATGAAGACCCTTTATCACCATATATGCGCGTTCTATGACTCCACGAGGAGACAGCTGATCTCAGTAAGGAGACAGTAGGAACTAAGAATAGAGAGGGTGTATCTGCACGAGATAATCGCGGTGGTTCGACACCGTAGACAAATACAATAGAGACAGGCTCTGTAGAGACTCTCTTGCGTAGTAAATGCGATAAAACATTGCATACACTCTGAGGCTTCGGCCCCGCAAAAGCAGAGCTAATATCCAGGAAGGTAATCGGTTTATTAAACTTTTTTAGGGCCTGAGCTTGCTCAACAACAGCTGCAAATTTATCTATCATTGCTTGTAAAACATGTTCTTTAAGACGCATAGAGGATAGCTTTGTAATAAACTTCTCTACTTCTCCTAAAGCACTTTGCTGCTGCTGCTGAGCTAGCTGCTGCAGCTGCTGCTGCGTCTGTTCTTGAAACAATACTAAGAGTTCTTGCATATGTGTTCGCGTCTTTCTTAGGCCAATAGAAGTTGATAATCTGCTTTCTTCAGCGATTTCTAATACATTATCCATCTCTTTATTTGCTTCTCTTACACGCATCAAGACAGCAGATATCTCTTCTTGTAGCTGCAGCACTTGTTCTGCTGCTGCTGCTCTTAATGATGCCCTATAATCTGTAAACATCTTCATTAAACTCCCGTCTACAGGGTTTAATAACTCGTCGGCTTTCGTCTCTAATTCGCTTAACTTTGCTTCAAATGGTGCTGCAAATAAAACACAATATCTCTTAACTCTTTTGCTGATGACGCAGCAACAAATTATATAATTTATTTATTTATTATTATTTATTTATTTATTACTTCTTTGTTTGTTTATTTATCTATTTATTTATCTATTTATTTATCTATTTATTTATTTATTATTTATTTATTTATTTGTTTATGCTTGGTAAAGGAGTATATTTACACAATAATACTGATGACTAAATATATTTATTTATTTATTTATTTATTTATTTATATTTTTATTATTTAAATTAATTAAATTAAATATACAATGCGGAAATAAACAAACAAAATAAAATATATTTTATGAATAAATATATAAAAAACCTCTTCAGCCCCCCTTAAAAACCCTATTAAACCCTAAACCCTAAATCCTAAACCCTAAACCCTAAACCCTAAACAACTCGCATAAAATAAACATGTTTAATAAACCGTCTTAAAGCATAACCCCTAGTTCCCCACCGTAAACCGTCACCCCCCCACCGCAAACCCTAAACCCTAAACCCTAAACCCTAAACCCTAAACCCTAAACCCTGATGAAGGCCTCACCAAACTGTCTCCCCACAAGGTCTACAGCTGCTGCTGCTCTCGCTGTAAATAAATCTCCGAGTCGCTGCACTGTCCTCGCATCAGCTGATAAACGGCTGCGAAAGTGCGTAACGCGAGCTCCAAACAAGGTAACTGCAGTCTTGTGCCTGCACACAAACCCTAAACCCTAAACCCTAAACCCTAAACCCTAAACCCTAAACCCTGATGAAGGCCTCACCAAACTTTACTAAACAGTAAACGCTAAGTAATAATCAACACTAAAATATATATCATCAATCATAATCATCAAGGCGAGCATCAAACAATGTAACTGCAAACCCTAAACCCTAAACCCTAGACCCCAAGACAAGACACCGAAAAAAAGAGCTGACACAAAAAACAAGAGGCAAAACAAAGAGAGATAAAGAGGAGACAGTTAAAAGATAAAGAAGAGACAGTTAAAAGATAAAGAAGAGACAGTTAAAAGATAAAGAAGAGACAGTTAAAAGATAAAGAAGAGACAGTTGAAAGATAAAGAAGAGACAGTTAAAAGATAAAGAAGAGACAGTTAAAAAATAAAGAAGAGACAGTTAAAAGATAAAGAAGAGACAGTTAAAAGATAAAGAAGAGACAGTTAAAAGATAAAGAAGAGACAGTTAAAAGATAAAGAAGGGACAGTTAAAAGATAAAGAAGAGACAGTTAAAAGATAAAGAAGAGACAGTTGAAAGATAA